GCCAGTCAATGAAGCATCCTATACTTTTGGACATGCATTTTTTCTTATGTTTTATTATGTCCCATTCGTTATCTAAGCCAGTTCAGTTTGTCTCCACAAATCTCCCTTAATGAAAAAAGAAATCTTAATCACGTTCGTAAGTGCGCACAGAGAGGGTTTTTTTAACCACTGGAGATGGTCTATGTTTGTTTAACTAGTGACATCATCCGTGCGGTGCACGAGATTTATAATCCCGTTACCTTCTTTTTCATTTTTCTTTTCCAAATTTTACCCTTTTTCACTTCTACCACTTATAAAGTAAAAAAAAAAAAATTATTAAAGTCGTTGGATAGCAGAAGTAATTTTTAAGAAATATTTAAATGAACGGTAGATATATTTAAAAGGGGAAGGCCTCTCAACTTAAAGATTGAACGAGCTTAAAATTGTGACTTCATTCAATTTATTTTCTTATTTAAAACGAATTTGACCAGATCAAAAACTAAACTGAGCTGGAGCTGATTTGTTTGTTATTCAGATGTCTCTGGTCCCACACAATCTCTCGTGACACGTTTTCCACTTGTTTGGTGTCCATTTGAATTTACAATTTTTGATTCAAAGATGATACGTAATGATTGAGACCTAGAAAAAAAAAATACTAAGACATAACACTTGGGTTATACTTTCTTGCACAATACACAAAAGACCAAAAAACTCAACTCATTCATGAAATCATGGGCCAAAGACAAGAATTTTATAGGAAGATAACCTTAAATATGAAGTCTAATACTATGAGTATGTCATCTTTTTATTTTTAAATAAAAGGGCCATCTTTATGTGTCAAAAATTTTGTGATGATCTTGTTTATTATGGCCAACCATGTCTTCTTCATATGTCCATGTTTCACCGACTATGAGATTTAAATATTTTTACCTTCTTTGATCTATATCAATAATACAATAATTTATTTAGAAAACGAGTATGGTACCAAATTTTGTTTTTATGTATTGTAGCAAAAATTATTATCGTAGTAAAGATAAGAGATAAGTTAAGGAAAAATCGATTTGGGTGGTTTGGATATATTTATAGGTGACTTATTACGGCACCGATGAAAAAGAATGATACAATAGTTACTAAAGGTAAACGTAGGGGTATAGAAAGTTAAAATCAACTTTAAATGAAACAATAAAGAAAGATATGATAACTTATGGTTTAACTGAGAATATTGTCCTTAATAGAGCTCAGTGACGAAACAAGATTCATATAGTCAACCCCAAAAACATTGAAATAAGGCATTGTTGAATTGGGCAAAAATTATTACTAGTAAAAGTTAAGTTACGCCTTGCAAAAGACAAATTACAACTATTCGTTCGTGAATAAGATTAATTAATTCTAACTTGAACTTTAAAAAATATAATTTGACCATTAAAAATTATAATTTTCATGATCGATTAACTTCAAAACATTTCATGATCGGTTGTAACATTAAGTTTTGTTTTAAACGGTTATATCCAAGAGTTTAAAATGATGAGAGAGAACTCCATAGCAATTCATTGGTACAATAGTTGCAAACTTAAATTTTTTTAATTAATTTTTTTTCAGAGATAATCAGGCACGTGCGTTGCATGATTTTGGTTTTGGAGGCCTTTTTAGCTCGAGACAAATCCTATTTTGGCAAGTGGAAATGAAGTATGAGAATGGAATGACCATTACTTAGCAATGCTCATTCCAATGTTTAATATGCAATAATGAAAATTCATTTTTATTTTCATGGAGTGTCTAATCTTATAAACATAAAATTTGTCATCTCTCAATATTTGGTAGTATTTCTCATTTCTAATTACCATCATCAGGGTCAAGGTCAAGGTTGGGTTAGAGTTCGAGTCCAGTTCAAATCCGAGGTTAAGTGCGAATTCAGGGTCAAGTCTAGGTCTGAGACTAGGAATTTTTTAAATATTTATTTATCTAAATAGTTAAGTGAATTTTCAATTCTGTTTCAACGTTTAATTTTAGTTGTTGTCAAATATTAGAATAGTAATATTCATTTCATTTTATTCTATTCCATTCCGACATTGATTCTATTCTCAACTTAATTCCATTATAGAGTGTTGGTGTAATAAAGTCGGAAAAAAACAAAGTAACTATTCATTTATGGAGCGCCAAATATGCAGAAAACAATCCTTTTTTTTTATACTATTTCATATTTTAAGAATTTACTTTACCAGCTCCGGAGGTGATGTTCTCAGTGGGGGCATCATCCATCAGTTTTCAATGTTTATGGGATGATTTGATGTAAGAGAACTAAAGTTCTATGAATGACACATGGAATTTGTAATAGATAAGCAACCAAGAAACTATAACTCTTCTGGAGATTTTTTTTTTTAGTGCATCTCAAAAAAAAAAAAAAAGAGTTAGTTATACTTTTTTTTTTAAGTGTCAGTTATAGCTCGTTTGAGATTAAATTATAATTTCAGAAGTCAATTAAAATTAAAAAAATAAAAGTTATAATCGATACTAATTTGATCGTAATCTCATTAGCTTGAGTTATAATATAGTCTTTATCTTTGGCAATTGTCAATACAATATCAACACCATCTATTTAGTAACAAATTCCATTATGGTAAATTTTTAAAATTATCTTCACTTTTCGATCAATAAAAACGTGCTTTGTGTATAATTTTTTTTTATTTTTTTTATCAATAATTACAAATTATTTAATTCAAAATCAATGACTGAGATTGACTGAGATACAATATCAATACCTTAGGGGTAGTCAAAATCATTATGTAGTGTGGTTGGGTGAGATTCATTGAATCTAACTATACACATATCTAAATAATGAGCTATGCTTCCAAGATTAAGGCATAGTTTTCAAATATAGATCTGGAAAGGTCTTTCCCATTAACTTTAGTTTTTACAATTTTCAAGTCAACGTTCTTTAATGAAATGAAGGAAGGAAAGTGGGTTATTGATGTCATATCCTATCCACATATATAAAGGTAGGGTGGGGTGGGGTGGGGGGTATTTAATATTTTTGATATAAAAGTTATAACTAATCAAACAAAACAATGATTGATTACGAGCTTTTTTTGATTAATTATAACTTTTTTCTTATGAGTTGTAATTTTTTTTTTTTTTAAGATGTCTAAACTTGTGTCGATTACTCTCTCAAACTCAATAACTACCGCTATGACTTGAGTTAGGTTAAAACATGTTCATAACGATGGAGGATGACCGACTCTTACGGGGTGCAGAAAAAAATTAAACCTCTAGATTATCAAATGTTAGACTCAATCTCTGAACCACACTTAATAATTTTTTATAAGTTATAATTTGATCTTTAAAATTTATAATTTAACCTTTAAAAGTCATAACTTTCATGATCGATCATATTTTTTATAAGCTATAACTTACACTTAAAAAAATTTATAACTTAACTTTAAATAAATATTACATTTGATATGGTATTGGCGACGAAGCCGTAGACTTTCTCACCTAAATGGTGGTAAAATTTATTCACCACATAACCAACTCATTTGAATTCGAGATCGAATGGTAGATACGTCATGAGTCCATCTCCAACACGGCAACTATATAATGTCAAATTTAACGTGAAACATGAGGCACTGGTGAGAGAAGTTGATCATTCAATACTTTGAACCTGTCCAGACCCAATTGAATTCATTCCTCCGACACACAACGTTGCCCGGACTGGACCGTTTTTTAGTCCTACGTTCCCCCCTACGTTCGAAAGTGACCATTTCTTTTTTTTTTTGGTTCAGCAATCTTGGCTAGTCCTTTTTTCAATCCAGTTAAAGATAAGTCATTTACATCAGGACTAGATGATTCATAAGAAATAAATTCCTCATGACCTGACTTCAAAAAATTGTCAAAATTCAAAATTCAGAACGTCTAAAATTACACGTAATCTCTGTTACCTGTTGAATTACTTTAGAGTTGAAAGTGACCATTTCAAACTAAGAAAATTAGTAACGTTTTGGCTGATTTAACAGGCAATCTTCATGAGCGTGGTTGGCGATTGCGTGAGAAAACGATACGTCTGAAGTAATGAATGGAAACTCATCTCTCTTTTAATAGGCTTGTTACATTATTTTCAGTGTTAGATTATTCACTGTATATTGGCGAGACTTACTTACGTATCCTAAAGAAAAGAAAAAACTATCTCCCGACTACTGCGGTTAAGCTTTTGGTCCTAATGACAAATCCTAAAAACAGAACCGCAACAAGTAAAGACGAGGACTTAATTTGCTAACTTAATTTATAGACCTAATACAAACCAATATTAGGGCCCGTGGTCAACGTAAGGACAACAAATGATTAGATCGAATAAATCAAGTGTAAATAGCAATGCTTTGAGAATAGGCACTCCCTGTATGCATGAGCCTCATGATCATTTGAGGTAAGTGCGATAATCACCGTGAAGATTGGGCCACTGGCTCATAGATCGTCGGCCCATAGATCTATGGGCAAAAAATTATCCAAATGCAAGTTCAGATGTTTTTAAGTGTAATTTTATGGCCCATGACCGCGGCCTGTAAGTTCTTACATGACACCTGAAATGGGCCATCAGAATCTATCTGCCTTTTGCTATTCTGTCACTAAATATTTATACCGTGGGACACAATAATTGGTACGTAAGTACACATAACAATCCCCACCTACCCCAGTCCATCCCTTCACCCGGATAACGACCATTTAAACACCTGTTTTCAGAAAGAGATGACAGAGTAACCACCTCGCCCTTATACTATTTTTTACCTGTGTTCTATCACTCGTGAAGATTCATGTGTTGGGGTGCAGTGAAATTTGAGTTCTACTCGGTAGTGATCATAGGCTACCACGATCAAGAGACCATTTAGAACCATATTCTTTTTTCTTTCTAATTTTTCCTGTTGGAGCTTAGAATCATATTTAAGAGAACAACAATTACAATTTTGAATCAAATATTAAAAATTTTAGAACTACAAAAGATAAGGGATGGAGTTTCGGAGGTGTTTGAGCATCTCCAACATTGCTATACTACATAAAGAAATGAACTGAATGATAGTATTTTCTTTGGCGTTAGGGGTAGAAAATCCTTATTCATATTTTGGCCGACATAACAGCCCAAAAAACAACGTTGTTCCAATAAAATTTTATGAAGAATTTTTTTCACCTCCATCTCACTACAAGTTCACTCATTCGGGAGCCATGAGCCAAGTGAAGCTTCCCACTATACTAAAAGAAGTGAGACTTTATGTACAAGAAACCTCCTAAAAAACCCTCTTCAGGTAAAAATCAGAACATGGTGAAAAGAGAGAGCATAAAATGCAGAGAAAGCACCTTAGACGCAGCCCCATGGGTCAAACCCAGACTGAATAACGTGCATCACCCGGAAAGCCAACCAGCAACTGGAGTGAACGCCAAGCCAATTTGGCCCTGCTCCCTGGGGTTATCCCTTTATTCTGTTCAAAGACTTCCATATGGTCTGTGCATGGCTTTCTTTGGTCCTTGCACACATTGCTATCTATTTGTGTTTTTCAAGCGAGCAAGGATCTCAACATCATCGAGACCTGATTCTATGACAAGCTGATGAGGTGATTTACCTTCCCCATCGACAGCTTGTGGATCTGCACCCCTGTAAGCACTTTGGCTATCAGACTGGCATTTAACAAGATTTGAATTGTTTATTAATCATATTAACCAAAGATGGCAGATCAGAACAATGGCTCAAGATAAAAGTGTAGACATCATACTCTAGCCCATCTAACAAACAAAGATTGCTAATCCAACCAACATTTTACAAAGTACAACAATTATAAGAAAGACAAAATACAATTGTCCCTCAATCATAGTTGTCAAATCGCGTATCAAAAAGCATTTCATTTTTAAAAATAATGTATCGTATCGTAGCATTTCATTAATATTTCACCAACTATTCAAGTTCCCAACAAAATTCAGTAATATCAAAATGCAAAGACCTCTAATTTAACCTTCTAATATCAACTGCTTGAATAATATTAACATTAATTAGGAATTTTGATTCAATTGAACAACACTAATAACAAACTTTATTTTTTTTTTAAACCCTAGCCACTAAAACGATGTTGTTTCGCTAGCTATGGATTAAAAAATAAGTCTTGATGAGAAATGACGTCATTTCAGCCCCAAAAAACCAAAAAAAATTTTAAAAAACAGAATTTTCCCATATCGTATTTATCGGATGATACATATTATATGTATTGTATCATGTATCGTACGATACGATGTAAAAACAATTCAAAGACACAATTCTTATCCATTTTTTAAGGTGTATCGTACGATACGTTTCGCGTATCGTTCGATACTAATAACTATGCATTCAATAGACCAAAAAACCAAATAATTGCAATGTAAAAAGTTAATTCTCAACATCACAGTGATTCCATATTAACAAGGAACAATTGAGATCTGAACAGCTATTGTGTGGGTCATGTTGCAATTAATTGCATACAATAGAGGCTGAGCTGAAAAAGAGCAACAAAAAGGAAAATATTTCTGCCAAATAAAATAAAAAGACACTGGTATCCAGATAGAAACACAATAAAAGAAAAGAAACAGATGAACTAAAGGTGCGCGAAAGGCAAAGAATCACCTCATGAGAAGCAGTTTTGCAATTGCAATTCTCCCTCTAATAATACTATGATGCAGCGGTGTCTGACCATTTGAATCAGAAGCATTTATGTGTGCACCATGTTGTAGGAGCAGCTCTACCATGCCAATGTCAGCAGCTTGACAGGCAAGGTGGAGCAGGGAACAGCCGTCAAGAACTTCACCTCCATTTTCTCTTAGTGAGCCCAAACAGCTTGAGGAGACCTTGTTAACAGAATGTCCCTCTAAGCAATCAAAATTATGATCCAAGTTTGCCAGCTCTTGCCATTGCATTGCATTGCCTAGAGTTAAAGATGTACCAGCTGAGGCTTGCCCACGGATAGCATTGACATCTGCTTCACAAATAATAATAAGGCGGTAAACTGCTTTCTTGTCATTAATACGGACACTTTCCCACAACTGCTGTGCAACTGAAAGAAGATGCTGAGTGTCCTTTACTTTTTGAACAAAACGTTTTTCTGCATACTGTAATCAGAGGAAAACTTAATTCACTTATACTTTCCCGATAATAAAAACTATATGAGGCAAATAAATATTTATTATTGATAATACAACCACCAAGGATCTCCATGTATAAGTGTGCATGTCTACACAAGAGTGAAACAGAAAAATGGCCACATCCACACATATATTGATGCATTTACTATACGTACCAGTAGGAGATCATACCCAAGCAAAGGTTTTCCTTGGAGAATCAGCAGTCAACCAAATTTGTTTGACTGCGAGGAACAGAGCAAAATGTCTATTCATGCCAGGCTCTAAATTAAGTGGTAAGAGTTCAACTTATTCAAGTTTCAAACTTCATGAGCCATAAATGGTATTATTCTTCTCTGCTAAGGACTTCAATTCGAAATTTTTCTTGCAGCTTCGGGTGACTATTTTTCTATGGAACATGGTACCATTGTATATTTTTCCAAGCAAGCATCAACCATAACCCCAATTTTGTCAACAAGAAAGAGCCACCACCTAATAAAGATTGCACAGAAATTCAAAACCCAGAGAATGGCCTTTAATTAAACTCTCCCTGGTAAACAGACATACTATGTGATAATACTTCCACCATCGTGCATGCAGATGTAGCTGATTTCATAGTTGCTCTACTCCAAAACCCAGAAGACTGAGGTTAACCTCTTCTCCCAGACGTGTAAGGTCAGCCAAAAACCCTGTATCCCCAGGTGTGAAACTAGTCCCAAAACCCCAAAAGGAGTGGATTTTATGATCCAACCCACCCCAGATAAAAAAAAACTGTACACGTACAAGAGAGATGCAATTCAATTGGCCATATAGAGATTGCGTCAATTCTTTGTATAACAAATTCTTTTTAAATACAATTAATGGAAAATTTTAATATGACAACTTGACAGATGGTTTTGATCAATTAGAGTGTCAATTACTTTATCAACTTCATCTCTTGAAAAGATCCAATATGCATGAGCCATTGCTTGGATGAAACTTGAATAACATAACTAGAACCTCATAGTGATATTAATATATTAAATTCTCACATTGAAAAATATAGTAAAACGAAACCAGTGCAGCATACAATGCCTATACCCATGTGTTCATTTCTTTAAGAAAAAAACTTGAATACGTAACTAATAACAAGTGAAGAAAATCAAATACTTTGGAGCAATACCTTTGCATAAATAAATCTCTCCTTTACAGAAATAGGATCATCATGACAGGGTTTGCTAAAGAACTGCTTGTGTTTATCAGACTCAAAAAACCTATATCACAAGAACGGCAATTCTTGAGAATGGAATAAACAAACATTTCAACCGTGTTAAGTTATGCAATACTTACCTCATTGGTATTTCATCAGCCTGAAAAGTTCTCCTTGCATGCAACAGGCCCTCCCATATTGAGTTAACATAAACATTTCCCAATGCCTGGAATAATGTTATGACAGAGGGCTCCCACACTTTGACATCAAGCACCAAGGATCTTACCTGCATTGATGTAAATACATGAGCTGTCAAAATGAACAAGCAGAAGAAACTATTTGCCATGCTAATCACATCATATACATATGTGCGTGTGTGTGTGTGCGCGCATGTATATAAACCCTTGCATTGACAGAGAAAGGAAGAGAGATTAAATAGAGAGCAAGTGCAGCAGATTATATGAAATCAACCAATTCAAAATTTCCCTCGATGGTTAATACCTTTACCCAACTAATGACGTGTCAATATTCAACAAAAAGATCCAAGGTTAAACCTCACATGAAGGCTCTTAAGCAATAACTATGACTTTAATTTTTTCCTCTTCATTTTCAGATGTACAAGGATAGTAAAACAAGATAGTGTAAAATACAATATTCCTCAGCAACTGTCTTTAAGTTTCAAACAGATAAAATTGAAACAAACTTGTCAAATATAGCAGTAGGAGGATTGTTAAGTTTTTAGGACTTGGCACCTCTAAGAACACATTATAACTGCACCGGGTGCTGAATGATCATGCAAGCATTTTTCCACCTCAGTTTAAGCTGTCATCACAAATTTAGCTGGTTCAAATAAAAGTTTTTTGTCAGCTATATTAAGTACAATTAGAAACTGATTAATATCCACACCTCAAAGTATTGGGTTTGAGAGTCTAAACATCTGACTGCATGACCCACAATGTTTCTTTCAGGGGGTTGATCAGTCTTCTATGTAAGGAACCTCATATATTCAGAAATTTCTCTTCCATTAGTTTTGAGGACCTCTGACTGATCGGATCCCCACACCTCAAAGTGTTGTGTTCGAGAATCTAAAAGTCCTGCTGCAAGGCATCAAGCTTTCATCTTACTCCCTAATATGCACATCCAAGTGTAACTAAAAACACAGATGTTTTCACAAAAAATATTAAGTGGACATGCTCATGAAAGGAGTTGAGGTGAATATAACAAACCTAAGACACTAACCTTGGATATGTGTACACCAAGATTGCGGTGAACACCCGAACACTCAATGCAGATCAGAACACCCAGATTTAAGGAAGCCCATTCTGGTTCAGGCGCACCACAATCAGCACATTTATCATTCCCAGGTAATCTTTTCAATGCCTTAACAGGCTTCTCACTTTTCATCCAGTGTAGCTGATGTGAACTTTTAGATGCTCGTATAACATTTCTAGAAGCGAGGTCCTTTTCAGATAAGTGTTCTTCAATTGCTCTTTGATCGTGATCCGAAAGACTTCCAACAGAACTACACTCAGTAGGGGGGCTAGCAGAGAGATGCTGACATATTATTGGATCATTATAGTTAAAAATGACCATAAAAATCTGAACCAATATTGGTACTGCAGACATTCTTAAAATTTACCCTCTCAGGAGCCTGGCAACTCAACAACGAAGTAATCACTCCAGTTATTTTATCAATCCAGTCCATTTGATCAAGGGCACTCTCTGCCTGCACCATCAAGGAAATGTATGATATTACTAAGGCTAGTTGATAAATATTCAATCAGTTCCCCTCAACATAGAGTAACTTTACATTCAACCAAGATAAAGTTGTCTTAGCATCATTAAGGTTATAATGAAAACAAATATCCACATGTTTGAGTTGATCCACAAAAATTTACCTGCAAAGTATAGTTCTTTGTCGGTGAGATAATTCTGAAACAGAATCTCAAATCTGATTGATCTGCATCAATCTTTATTGTTGATGTCAAAAGGTTCACAGTGTGACGTGCAACGGATTTTTCATCATGTACACCACCATGGTAATGAGAAGAAAGCCACCGACTTAGCAGTCCAGCACCAGGTTCAGAAGAACTATTTCTATGAGCAGGTAGTTGACTCCCAGACCCCTGCACCTATATGCTAAAAGATTCAGTAAGCAGGGGTAGTAACAACTAAAAATGAAATTTTTAAAGTACCAACATAAGTTATCATGCAGGACTTACAGGTGACCTGCTCCATTGTTTTCTATAGTACAACAACATCCCTCGGCTGTCCAGAACAAAAAACCTTCTCTTCCAGTCACCCCTCAAATTAGATGAACGTTTTGATAAATATCCTTGCTTAATGGTTTGAACCTAAACTATTGAAGTCTTAGCTATAGACATGAAAATCATAACTATCCCTGAAAATAACAAATAAATAAATTGCCAAAAATGAAAGAAAAACTTTTGATAGGCAGAGAGGAAATTACATCTCCATATATACCTTCCCTTCTGCAGCTGACTCCATCACTGCCTCAATTGCTTTATGAGAACTTCTGTGAAAAGGTTGTATAACCTCTCCATTTGGAGAACCATGAGACCCATTAAAGGAATGTCTGCTTTCATGATCAACCTGCCTTTTGTATTCTTGCATCCTTTCATGGAGAGCTGCCTGCTCATAGTTGGAACATTCTCTCGACTGTTGTGCATATGCCAAGACCTGTAACAAAAGAGTAGACCTGAACTTTAGTATTTCCCAACCTAAGGTGCTTAGAAAATACAAAAAGGGTAAGCATAAAGAATAGATAAGATATTTGCAGGTAGTAGCTGACTGAAGAACCAATACAAATATTGAATTAGACTTGGACAAGATCTACCAGATTCAACATCTGAATATATAGTTCAGTCATCTTGATTGCATATGCATTTTCAAGGCTTCAAGTAGAATACATGATCAAAAAACAACATTTCAACACTTGAGGTAAGTTGAGAAATAGTCAACACGTTAACTTGCAGAGGTAAGTTGAGAAATAGTCAACACATTAACTTGCATGAAACTCACAAGAGGAATCGATTGAGCTGTATTATTGCATTGGTTTATCTACCGGAGAAAAGGAAAGAGTAAAAGGTTTGGGCCAAACAGAATATCAGTAACATCTCAATTGAAACTGTATTTTTCCTTGGATTTGTAACACCAGACATGAACACCACAAGCCAAGGGGGCAGAAAATCCTCAAAAAGTTGGGACACAAAAAATGCCTTAACAAAACAATGTAAAAATGCATATTATCCATAAAAAACTAGGTAGAATTTCACTTCAGTTTCAAAAGTGATTATGATTTTTAAATAATTATGTGTTGAACAATTGCCCAATATGTAGTGAGTTTGATAAATAATCTTGTGGGGTTACTATAAGTCAAGGATTTTAGGTTTTAGGTCTTAAGTTCCGAGTTGGATTTGATTGGTTATGATATAATTACTTTTTTTAGTTAATTTATTGTTCCAAAACTCAATTTTGCTCGTTAACTGAACAATCGTGTTCAAGGAAAAAACTGACTGGTGATTAAATGAGGCAAAATAATCCACATTTAAATAAGTTTTATCAGGTGACAAAGTGACAATAACATCTGTTTCATTATTATATTAAGCATATTATCACTCTTGCCTCCTATACTTGTATACTTTACACCCGTGTTCTCTGTGTAAATAGTGTCTGCTGCATGCTTGCGGGAAATTCTTCCTCAGATTAGTCATATGATGTGTCTGAAAATTTTCAAGGAGGGCCAGAGGAGTATCATGTCCACATGGGTTGGAAACCACTGACGCAGTTCCATGCTACACAGCTTGGAGTACAAATCATCATCCTTGTCATGATTAATCATTACAATGGCAAGATGAAAAAAAATCAACCATTTCAACGCTCATTTGTAACTCAAACATAAAATTTCATAAAGGTCCAATTTAAAAATTCATCGTAATGGAAAAGTGTGGAGGGCAAAAGTTGGGAGTCTTGTAGATCTAAAGGCAGACTGTCGTACAAGAGAAGCAACAGAAATGAGAGAGACAAATGGTGAGAAGAAAGAAGGAATGAGAGAACAGAAAGAAGAAGAAGAAAGGAAGGAGAGAGAGAACCAATAGTACAAAATTTTAATAGCAATAGTTTTCCTTTGTTACCATAAGCATATATGTTGGCAATTCCAAAAGGAAGCAAAATTAACATTTTTAAGCAAGAACATGACAAAAGAATCCTAATATTGAAAATTTGGCCCAAAATATTAGCCTTAATTTTTTTCAATCCAGGGCTTTAACCATTCCATTTGAAATTCCATCAGGTAATGCTCTACGGAGCAATCTCAAAGTTCCCCACCCAAATGGAAAATGTACAATAGATCATAACTCCGACATGCCCTTTACAACGGAACTTGCCAAGGCTCTGAGGTATAAGTAGATTAATTAGGAAAAGTTATCTTGCACAATTTTGTTGGAGGTATGATTAACTTCATTCTATAATATTCCTGTTCTGTTCATCACTTTGTCTATAATTCCATAACTATCTAAATGTTATTTTCAAAATCATGTATCATCAAAGCCAAACAAGCAAGAAATGCAGATCCACCTCATCCCCATTAAAAGATATCATTACTAATGGACAATATATACCTGGTTGATATATGGCTCCATCTGATGCAACAGCTCGTACCCCTGCACGTAATCAAAGGGTTGAGAAGAAGCATCACAGAAATGTAACACTTCAGAAAGGAGTATGGAATCATCGTCATATCATTTACCTGTTTGAAGTATTGAAGATGAGTATTCATTGTCCCAACAACAGCCTCCAAAAACTCAAACCTCTTTTTTGCCTCAACAGTAGAAAGAGCACTAACCTGCAATTAAAAATGTTCCCCAGATATAGTAAGATTCTTGCTTATTCGGCATTCCTCTTTATCTAATTAGTTTCCTTTTTATAATATAAAACCTATACAAAATAGACAGGCACAACGAAATTTAATGTACCAGATTGAAGCGGGCTTGCTCAAATGTTAATCTAGCATTGTGAAGTTCCTGGAACATCTCTCAACCAAATTAGCATTTAAAAGGCGATGGTTACCCACAACAAACTATATGTTCGTATAATGCATCAGAATTGCATAGCATTCAACATAAAGGAAAACTAATACTTGATACCTCCTCTATGGTAGCAGCAATATCCATCCTTGTGCTTTTCCTCAACGAAAGAAACTTCTCACGGACCTGTGACACAAAGATGGGCATCAATAGTCAACAGTAACTAAGTAAAACATCAAATCTTGCAGCTTGTCCAATTGTCCATGCTAATTATGTTGAGAAAACTCTGCACTTCTTATTAGATCAATTACCAGCCAATTTTGGTAATGTAAATGCTAGTTGAAGAATTTGTGGCATATGAAGATTAGAAATTGGAAGTAATGTGACCTTCTTTCTTGATTTCTACCCCAAAGAACAATCCAAAATAAAACTTAAACTAAGCAAGTACTGAGACCGTTGTCATTTAGTTTCTCCAGATTTCTAAATAAGGGGTGCTGGATAAACCAGAGAATTGTCTCAGAATGTTTTGGGATTGCAAAATACATGTCAGGCCAAAGGGAAATTATTATAAGACGGCTGTAAGGCCAACCATGATTCATGATACAATACAGTCAGAAATAGAAGTTGAATGCAGCAAAGTTAAGGTATTAGAACAGGAAAGTGACGGTAACAAATCCCAACAATCGATATATCAGAGTGTATTGGAAGCCTAATGCCACAGGGCTATAAAAGAGGACAATTACATTTACACAGAATCATTTTAAAAGTTTAGCTTGTGCAGCAATCTTCTACTAACAAAACTCAACTCACATGTCAGTAATGAAACTTTAAAAAAATGTTGTAGCTAGAATGTAGAAGGAAATTGGACAGATTTGCTTTAAAAGTTAGAAGTTACAGTTCAATCTACAGAGAGCAAATGCCCACCTGGTCATAAATAGCATTAGCCTTGTCAAAACGCTTCCGAGCTTCCTGAACCAATAAGAAATATTTTAGAACATAAAAGTGAAAGTTGCTTAGGAAAGAAAAGAAGATGTGTTACATTGGATTTCAGAAATACGCAATGGTGAAAAAAATTAAATAGAAAATGTCGTGCATAATTTTGGTTAATTGAAGGTCTCCAGTTTCAGTTTTTCCAATTAACACTGCTACATCTTTGTTCTGTCCAACACGCCTACATCAAAGATGATTGCAATACAATACTGCTTCATAACTCTCAACATGCTAAAATAATAGCAGGAGTAATATATGGGAATGACAGGGAAAACAGACAAGAACTTACCACTACTGATAACTCCTATGCACATAAGTCTAAACCAAAGCGTAATGAACAGTACCTTCACATCTTGCAGGTCAACGTTGGCAAAGTATAGCAAGGTGTCATTAAGTTTGTGCTCAACCTGAAAAGACAACTGGATATTATGAGCAGAAAGAAGCAAATAGAATGATATTAAAGCAAGCGCATAGAATAAGAAACATCTTATGGATAAAAAATAAAACTTAATGTGCTGTGGTAATAAAAGCAAGAGAATTTCCACCTGTGATCGAAGAACTTCCTTGTATGTTCCAATTTCTCGCAAAGCAATCGCAAATTTGGTCATATCAGGACCTACAAATGCAAAAACAAATTTTGATTAGTATGCAGTGCAGTATAGAACATGGCACTTTCATCAATATACATATTTAAGATAAAAACAATCAACACAAAATAACGTAATATGGATTATTGCAACAACACCGGTAAGATAAACTAAATCAAAAAGGTGCATGCAATGACAACCTGTTTATTAATTGATTAAAGATTTGATGATGATGATACAGGTGAGATTACGTCATTCAATCTAGCTTCGATTTAAATTTATGGCCTTCTATATTCTGTAATCTCGGAATGAACCTGAGGAGGACAATTCAAGCCATTGTCAAGAGAACTATATAATATGGTTCATGATAATCGAGGAGAGATCAGACTTAGTCTTCATGTTCTTCTCCTTTTTCAACATTTCAGGCAGCAAGCCTACCCAGACGGGATTCTTCTTTCTCCCTTGCACCATGATGTCCTTGAATCTTCTTTTTCTTTTTCTATTTTTTTAAACTCCTATATTAAAATGAAATTTGAAGGGAAAAAGTTACCCTCACAAACTCAATTGGCAACACGATGGTGTTGATTGCTTCAAAATGGAGGAAGATTTGAAACAAAAAGAACTTGTATAGCAAGGCCAAAATTTTTTTGCCCAGCTAAGGCAACATCTTGGCCCAAAAAGTCGGTGACCCAAAGGGTTTTTCCAACCTATTAGAGGCTCTTTCAAGTCTGAAGTTTTCCATTTAGTTTGAAACATGCCAAAGTCAAGAAAAAGCAACTTAAATCTAAAGTCACAAAAGTCAAGGATTATATTGTGAAACGTTTACCAAATTACACTAATTTGAGGAAGAATGTCGAGGTTTACGAAATGGTGCTTTGCATCAAAATGTTGCAAAGAAGCCACCCAGATTAAGAGAAAAAAAAAGATTCTATCAAGAAATGTCAAAATATCAATACAGGAAGAAACAAAATCTGAACACAGCCTAGGGCTGGAGTGGACCTCTAGACCATAGTTATCAAATCGTGTATCGGAAGGCGTATCGTAAGATACAAATATTGTATCGTATCGTGTATCGTATCGTGTATCGTAAGATACGATGCAATTTTAAATAAATAATAAAAAAATATAATACCTTTGAAAAAAAGTCATACACTCATAAAAAATATAGCATTTCATTAATACTCCACCAACTATTCAAGTTATCAACATAATCCACTACTATTATAATGCAAAGTTCACAACCATAGTTCACTAATTCAAACTTTAAACACCAAAGAGACTTCTAATCCAAATTAACATCCATTTTGAACTCAATCTTCAATTTCAATTGAAAATGCATCATCATCATCATCATTGTGATCGGATGCCAACAAGTCTTCACTTGTCGTTTTTTTTTTAAAAAAAATCAGAGCACAAAACGACGTCGTTTTGCACGTATCGTGCGTATCGTACCGATACGTATCGTATCGTAAAAACGTATCGTGTATCGGACGATACAACGCAAAAACGATACATAACTACGATCCGTATCGTTTTAGGGCTGTATCGTAACGTATCGTACGATACGTATCGCGTATCGTACGATACTAACAACTTTGCTCTAGACTACAACGCCGAGATAGGGCAAAAATTCTTCTTTTCCTAATCCTAGCTGTCAAAAATAATTAAACTCCTAATTGTAAATCAGGATAACAAGTAGGAACATTCCAAAAAGCCCTCCCTAAAGACTATTGCAGCACTGTATCAAACTAGTGCCACAGTAGTCATGAACAGTGTGCCACTGAATTCATCAATAAAGTATGTTGTTGTTAGGAGATTCATCAACCTCAGGCGCTAACCTTGACATTCTGAGCTCAGGCTTTAGTCTGATGGAATGCTAAGAAGGTAAATTTGAGTAGGACTCAGCATGGCCTACATGGGCTCAACTGGATAGCACACAAATCAATCATAGAAATCTCCCCTCAAGCAATAAACAATTCATCCAAAAACGTCCTAGTTTGCTCTTTCAATAAAACCTGTAACTCTAAACGATTTTATGATAGATTGAGGTACCTTGAAACCAACAAAACTTTGATACTTCTATTAACTACTGTTCATGCTCCTTCATATTTGATGAAATTAAGATCCTCCAAGCTTTTACAGAAGATGCAACAAAAACAAAATGAGCTAAGATAATCCAGGTTTTGTTTTATTATGAAGTAAAGCCAGTTCAAGCAAGATTGGCAAAAATTGACTCCAGCTCAATTCAATTTACTAATTTGGAATTTGAAATAAGAAATGATAACCATGTTGAACCTCAAATATAGGGCAAAAAATTCAAAAAATCCACTATCTCAACATGGAAAAGGATATCAAATACAAGAATTAGAGATGCATACCTCCAAAAGCAACACAAATAGGATCATTGTGCCCTCCTCCAAAAGTTTCGAGGGCGCTTGCAAAAGCAATGTCCCTATCATATCCTTCTCCAAGCCCTTCTCTGTAAATTCGAAATGCAGAAATCAGTACTTTGCTACTCTTTAAAAGGATAACATAGGCTTCCTTAAGCAAAATAAATATTTTAGAAGCTATACAACTCATCTCAACAAAGCCTTAATCCAATATTTTTAGGGTCGGCTATATAAATCCTCTCTCGTTATTAAGCTCTATCAAGAGTCATATTTTTTGTTAAACCATAAGTTATCATATTTTTCTTTATTACTTTAAAGTTAACTTTGGACGTCCACTACCATTACACTTACCATCAATAGCTATCATATCATTCTTTCTCCCTAGTGTCATAATAAGACATCTATAAACATGTCCAAACCATATAAGTCGATTCTCTCTAAATTTATCTTCTATAGATGTTATCTCTACTTATTCACAGATATAATCATTCCTAATTCTATCTTTTTTAGTTTTACCCTACATCTATCTTAACATTCTCATTTTTGTCACACCTAATTTTTGAACGTGTTGTTTCTTAGCTGTCCAACACTCAGTACTACAATACATGACAGGTCTTATGGTCGTTCCATAGAACTTACCTTTTAGCTCAAGAGATATGCGTCTATCACACAATACACTAGACGCATTCCTCCAGCTAGAAGCTATAAATGCTCGAAATTTCAAGTCGTATACAATGCTTATGTGGATGTTTAAGGTGTTATATTAGACCTTACAAATTGTTTGCCTAAATATTTGAATGTGTTAAGTTAACTACATAGGGTAACCTCATTAATAATAATAAAAAGGAGTGAAAAAAAATAGAAACACAAAGTAATATATAAGAAAAGCATGACTAATCACTTCAAAGCATAAACAGCTCCCAAATTATTTGGAAAAAGTTAAATGTCAATCCTACACCAGGGCAAACTTTCCCATGCTTTAAGGCCCGCCCACAACAAAATATAACCAAAAATAACACATAATAATACCCACAGCTAAAGGCAAACTGGATCTATAACCAAATAGACCTAATTGGCTACAGACTGAATCGGGACAACATTAGCAAATTGACCTCAACTTATGAACATACCTTCTGTCTTTATCTTCTAGTTTACTAGATACCTTATTTTGCTACGTTATTTTGCTCTCCAAAATCACGTAATTGTTTTTCAAGCGATACCAAATCCATCAAAAATAAGTGGTCAACACCAACCAATAACTATATCCTATTCTTGGAAGGCTTCATTGTTCTCTCTTTCACAAAATTTTGTTCTCTCACTCCAACAAAAAATATTTTTGTGAAAATGACAATGAGGACATTAACACATACACATACATGAAGATCTCTGAAAATTTTCGCATTTAACATTCATATTATGTTTTTTTTAAATTTTCGAAAAAAATAAAAAAACTAGAATATTAAAGCATGTTGTAGATATTATCGCATATTTTGAAATTAGAACAATCTATGAATCTGACATAGAGCTTCAAAAGAAATTACATATTGACTGAACCATTCTCTTCAAAGCAAGTACGAAGTTAAGGTCATGATATAAAAAAGTGGAGATAGGTGATATAGATTTTAGACTTACGTGTATTTTCGACATCCTTTATAAAACTTTAAACTTTTCTCCCTCAATGTTTCAGCACTTTCTTCCAAACATTGGATCTGCTTCACCAAACAATGCAGTGTTTAGCCTTCACATATAGCAAAAAGTCAACATACATCTTAACGGCAACAAGAATGTTTACCATAGGCTTTACAAGCCGATATTATTTGTATTCTGCTTAAATATCAACACAAAACCTAGAAAATCATTGCAAAGGAGTAAACAAAAGATAGTAGTATAACAACACTTACATAGTCTTTTCTCCAATCTTATTCATAACAAACACGGCCTCCAAAATGTTACTGATACATTTTCAGTGTCTATATCTGTTTTCCCAATCACCCGTCCCATTTTTCTGTAAGTGTGAGCATTGCAATAGATTTTGCCACAAGATATTTGTATTCCCCTCAAATGTTCAATGAAAAGTGAGCTATATCTTTAGTTTTGGTTTCAACAAAATTTTGAACCTAACATTTTTATGATTAGTCAAATATTTCAAATCCACTTGAAAAATCTCAATGTCATCCAAATCTTGCCGATGCTTAAACCTAAAAGTGATGTTCATGAACTAATGAATAAAAGAATTCAAGTTAAGTAACACCGTGCTACCCGAGCATGCCCGGCACAAGAAATCTGGCCTATGCTCAGCCCAACCCTAAAATTGCACCCACCACCTGGACCAAGCCCGAGTAGTCTTGGTGTAGACTATGGCGCTAACTCCATCCCACAGACTGGCCCATTGAATTTTCAATTTTCTATAAATAAGCTGTAAGATATAATCTTATAATGATCATAAATATACAACTAAAGAAGTAATAGAAATAATAAGTTGTAAGTTATAAACTTAAATATTTAGAAATTATAATTCACTACTTTCTAATGTAAAAATTCGTTCACGGTCAACCCTGCCCAGCCAGCCAACAAACCTGGCAATCAGCAACTGCCATGGGCTGGGCAGTGGCACAAGCCCTCACATCTAGCGTGGCCCAGCCTCACCACAGCACAGGTTTTGGCCCCGCCTAGTCCAAAATTTTTTGCATGGACACCCCGATCAAGAGCTATACAGGAACAATGCTATATGAACCTATTTTACGGACTTAATCATTCATAATTGGATTGATAGTGGACCCTACTAGACCCACAATCAGTCCAAGGGTTATGGTAAATTAAGTCCAAATAGCATTATTGATGGTATTAAGTTTATGGAGCTCAAAAAAGTGCATTCAAATAAAATAAAACAATAGTATACTTAGAAGGCTAAAGTGAATAATAAAAAAGTCACGGCGTGCTATTTTTCAGCACCAGTGAGAATTCACAAGCAATCCTTCGAGTCATATAAATACAATCATCAAAACATACCATATTAAGCACCAATGCAACTGATGGAGCAGCCAACAATCTTGAGTTCTATAATGTGATTTTACTAGACCACAAAACACCAAAATAAAGCAATTTAATCGTATTTGGAGTTTCAAGCCCGTGAACATCATACCAGATGTTGATGAGCCGGTATACATGACCAAACATCAAATGTTGTATAATTGTATAAAGGAAACAAATAAAATCCAGCAGTTATAGTAATCACCCCGTGTAATTTCAGACAAAACAATCAAAAATACAAAGTTCCTCGATTCGACACCTAAAAATAGGTGATACAAGGATCCAACGTATGATTCAAGTACACCGATAACATTTTGGCAGACAATGAATCCCTAATGATTACCTGTTGCCGAAACATCGGCGAATCGTCGAGTCTAGCAAAATGCATCTTTCCTTCCTGCATCTGATCCAAACCAACATCACAGCCCACCCGCAATATCAGTAAACGTATCTTGCTCGGCCCGATTTCAGATATTTCTAGCAGAATTCACTCATGCAATGGCCTCAAAATCAAGACCCAAGCCCTAGAAGGTAATCGAAAATTCTGGAAGAAAAACGAATAACGTTTCTCACATAAACAAAATAAAAAGATCCAATAAGCGATTCTGAATTCAAAAACGTTGGAGAAGAAGAAGAATGTGAAGAGAAATGGGGAGGGTTTGATTGATATTTTTGGGTAGGAAAGGGACCGAAAATGGTGGTGACAATGAAATGGCTGATGAAAATAGGGGGACCAGCTTTCCCGGTTTTTCATGGCTGTCACTTAAAATACCCTCTGTTCCCCCCCCCCCTCTCTCTCTCTCTCTCTCTCTCTCAATCTCTCTCAAACTTTTTCCCTCTCAAACCATAGTTTAATCGCGGGGTCTGTGGGGAAAATCCCATTTTACCCCTAAAAAAATAAAAATTCTCAATTTATCCCTCGAATTATTAATTTTTCTATATTACCCTTCAAAAAATAAAAAAAAATTGTACTGTAGTTCATCGTCTTATTTTTGTTTAGTTGTTCATCTATTTTGTGTTAAATCAATCAATCAAAAATGATAAAACAGACGAACGATCAAATATAAATTAGACGGTAGACCACATTATAATATTTTTTATTATTTAAGGAGATAATGTGAAAAAATTAATTATTTGGTAAGTAAATTAAGAATTTTTGTATCTTTTATGGACAAAATGAGAATCAATCAATTAAAAATTACAAAATAGAGGGACGATTAAATAAAAATAAAGTAGTGAATCACATTACAAATTTTTTTATTCTCTGAGAGGATAATGTGAAAAAATTAATATTTGGGGGGCAAATTAAAATTTTTTGTATCTTTTAGGGGATAAAATGAGATTTACCCATTAGCAGTCCATAAAACCTGCTGGTGCGCGCCATGCCGAGACGAACGTTTTTGGGACCCTGGGCCAGCTAATCTGGACTTTTGGCCAGGTGTGTATGGACCAGGGGACAAAGGTTACAACATCCTCCACGCCCATCCAGTCGTTGAGCTCCTCTATTTCTAGACTAAGATCAATTATGGCTATGGACACAAAAACATGTCATGCCCTAATCATGTATTATGATGTGTTAATTAAGTCTAATTTGTCGAGTTTGAGTATATTTATTTTTTATTTGTTTATAATTTTTGAAGCTTGAGCTCATAACGAGCTTAAATTCTTGCTCATTTTTACTTGATAAATGCTTGTTAGTATATATAATCTATGATAAATCAAATCTTAAAAGTTTAAAATTATAGTAAATATATTAGGGATAAGTGGATTAAAGAGTGCATATGACTTGAAGCTACTAAGGGATGTGTATGGATTATTGATCTTTCAAATAAGGTTATTTGGAAGTTAAGTTAGTGCACGGGTTGGGCAATAATTTAAGATAAAGGCACCAATGTGAGACTGTCCACGTGTCTTGCAAACAAGGAATGAGGTTAGAAGAGAACATGAGATGTGTCTAGCTTATCACCTCTAATGTCTAAGTCAATACGTATTCAAAGGGAGAAACAAATTTTACTTGATTGCGTACCTAAGACTCTAAGACCCAATTTTTTGGGTAATTTTATACCTTTAATATGACAACATGACAGTGTCCCCCCGTAAGAATAATTAATCAATATCTACTCCCCCCCTCAAGCCGAGCAATTATTAGGTTTGGGGAAGGTCGCTCCTCTAGACCTAGTCTCATAATGGGTAGTGATTACCTTTGCTCAGTAGACCGAGCATTTAGTATATGTCCCCTCAACGAAGTCAAGAAATTGTATGAAAACACAAAGCATTACCAAAAGAATAATATAGATAATATATACTCATGAATTTGAATTTCAAATTTTATGAAAAATCTTACTAACAAATTTAACCGTGAATTAAGGGGTAGAAGACTGCTCATTAAAGGAATGCCAGTTTAGGAAACAGATGTGAGCATAAATTGAGTGTTTTTCCAATTAAGAAACAAATTTAACGTGGAAGATTGGTTTTAACTTCATATGAGAAGTATTTTGAAGTTATTAAAAAACTTTATACTTAACTACTTACTAAAAGATATACAATAAAACTTATTCCCAAATATGTTTAAGTGATGGATTTAACTCATTAAAAGTTTCCTAAACAAAGCTTAGCCCCAATTATCACTAAATGAAAATCGTAGTAAAAACCTCATTCTTCTCCTTCTCTCCCACCTATAGCACACTTTGTTAGGTGAATAATGCCTATTGCACATTGCTTAGCTCGACCCCTATTTGTGCATTCGATATGTTGTTCACACACAATACTTCCCTATAAAACAAATTACCTTCTCAGAAAGCCAATAGCAAAGTCCATCTCTCAAAACAATGAAACAAAGAAGAAATTCAGATCCAAGGCAAATTGAACTCCAAAAATCTGTTCAATCCCATCATTTCCACTGCAGTCAGAGCACAAATGGGTGAGGAAATTTGTTGACAGTCCCATTTCAAGTTATTTTTGTTCTACAGAATCCAGCGAACCGAAAATATTCAGATTTGGAAAAGTACTCATTTCATCGTGTCTTCCTCCTTGTATGGATATTAAATTTTGAGTAACAAAAAAATCCCATGGATTCAAGGCCACCCAAACAGCTTATCGCCAAAGCCGACTAATGAAGCCCTTTTTGTCTTTCTTCATCCTGTTCTCAAGTGATGGGAACTCAATTGAATTAAATGCAAGATCTAGAACAATTGGATTGCGAGGAGTTGCTTGGAAGGCAGGTGGGAAGGCATCAATACGAGGAATTCCTCTCGTGTTGGAATCACCAACTGCAGATTCGTAACTATCCAATTTCTCGATAAGAAATTTCTCCAGCTGAAACAAAAGTTAAATCAGCATATTAGACCAATTTTTAGAGTATGAAAGCACAAAGATAAATCTCACCATCTATCAAAAATATACTTCAAAAAAAACTCTTTAAGCTATTATCAGTTGAACGCCTCTAACATTGTCGATCTAAATCTGTCTCTTCTTTTGCGTTCCTTTGAGAAAAAGCACTAACAGGTGTCCAGCACAAAGAGAATGGTCACTATCTACACATGGATTCCAACGAAGTCAAACCTTATTGAAGCCGTGCTCAAAATAACAGGTACTAAATTATCATAAGATGGTCTATACATATGCTACCTCCGCCACTGTTGCTGAAATATACTTTGTACTCAAATATTTACCTCAGAAAAGTATGTGGCAACATAAAGTACCTTATTGTCATTTTTCGTTAGTGATAAAGTAGAGATCTTTTTTGAGAGATTCTCGGGAGCTTTCTGCTCCTCCATAACACCAGTTGCATGCTCTATACAACTATGGGATCTACTGTCATTGTATAACATCTCCAATTCCTTGATTGTTACCTGTTTTAAGGAAGGGAAAATAGAAATGAGTAAAAGGCACTCAAAACCAAGTACTCACAACATCATCTATGTTTTGATTACTGGTATTAAATGACACTTTATTAGCATCAGCGCAGTGATAAATCCTACAAGAATAATTCAGCAAATTGCGAAATTAGATAATTCCCAACAGTGCTGCTACTGGATTATCTGCTTGCACAATGTTTACTGAGTAGTTATTACCCAAATGAGACAGTAAAACAATAGAGGAACTCGGTCCGATATGATGTCAGAAAGAAATTGGTGTCAACCACAAAAATTAGAATAGATATTTTATGCAAGTTCTTATGTATGATGCATAGAGCCGTTGGACAAAAGGACTTTAAAACAGTCACCAAAACCACACTGCCTTTGTGAATGTAAACACCTGATCTGGGGTAGTCAAATTCTGAATTTTTTTCAGGGCAGTATCAGCTAGAGAGCGAGCTCGGCAGTACAAAGCATATGCTTCTGTCCTCTTTCCAGCAGAACTGTAGGATTTAGCCAAGTAAAAACACCTGCCAACAATATGGGATGGAGGTCTTCCAATCAAATGTGAACTGAGAGAAATGTAGCATTTTAATTTTCTCCTAAAAACTTGTTATCAAGGAGAGCACTACAGCAGAATCAAATTTGTAAATATGCAAAGCAGAAACACCATGATTTCTGGGTTCAGCACCAGAGAAAATGATAGTTGATATTATAATATGTATTGAACGATCGACTAAGTAAAATTGGCACAATGCACTGAATAGAAATTATCCAAAGAGCAAACCAAGGGTGATATGTCACTCACAAAGATTGACATTTTGGCATAAACAAAAACATACAGATGATAGTATGGTACAAAAGAAACATAATCCTGCCATCATAACAGTTTAGTGCATAATGAAAAATGGACAGCATGACACCTTAATTTCATTCGACAGGCTTCTCAAAATCCGAAGTTTCAGAACCAAAAACATTTCTATGATATGATTGGAAGATCAAGACAAGCCAAAAGATTCATGGAACATAAAACATGCTGATGCCAAGCGATTGAGACAACTAATAAACATATTGACTACACATTAAAACACATTGACAACAGAAAAGTATCCTCATTAAACACATTTACAACAGAAAATTACTGAGAGCAAATATACATTCTTCCTAGATCGCCTCATGATGCCAATGCAGCATGTCTTCCTCAAAACATACAAGTTTATACAAAAAGCCATGAAAAAATTAAGATGAGATGGCGCAAGACATGACTAACTATCATTTAACACATGACTAACTATAGAAGCAACAACAATCGCGACGCAGTGAAAATATTATGACGTCTATCCAAGATCAATTTGAACACCAGCAATAACTAATAAAATTCAAGTTCAAGGGTGGGAGAGCCAGAGCCTGTAACCTGACGCATTAGGAAAAGACAGGACTAACTATCATTTAACACAAGACATAGCTGTAGATGATAAGACTGTGAAATGGGACATGAAAGCCAACAGCAAAGACTCGCTACAAAGTCTCTATGGTATCAAAGCTCAAACATGTGGGTTAAATTACTATCAGTAAAACATCTTCCCTAAACTAGAGAACAGAAACTATTAGGTTAACCAGCTAGATCCAACTATAAACCACACAGTCTCCTTGGACATAGAGAATTTCTTGTCGGATATTTTTTTCCTAGCTAAGGGTATTCACAGGCTTTAAAAATCTTGTCTAGGAGTTCTAAAAATCAAATACTAATAAAAAACTATAAAATTTCAGAAAGGGTCCCATTCTAAGAAATGGTGCAATCCATATTGATAGACGTGAGTAAAGTAAGATCCTAAGCCATTAAAGTTTTATTCTGCAAATAAATAAAGTTCCTATTAAGCAAACCTTTCTGCTCGAAATACCAAACTTTTGAGTTCGCATTCTTCAGTAAATGCCACTTCTTCTGGTTTTCTATCCCTTCCAGAGCTAACTAAATCAGAAAGATCAGCTGTATTCTGCCAATAGAAAGATCAGTTGCTCAAGTTATATCATGAGAATAATATTGCTACTTTGGTCCAGGCATCCCTAGATGTAGATAGTAAAATACAAACACAATGTAACAATTAAGAGTTTAGGAGTGTGGTCTCTCACCTGTAACAAAAGATCATATAATCGTACAAGCTCTTCAGGCTTGGTGACTTTCTCAGTTTTGTCATCACGGACCTTATTAAGTTTACTTTTGGCTAAGCTAACTAACAACTGGTTCCGCTCAATAGTTCGTTGTCCTAATACAGCGCCAATAGCTTTATCTAGGGCACTCAGATCATCCTTCAGGTTTTCAGAACTACCTGCTGTAACCTAAAACACAAAGAATCCCAGAATCAATCTTATGAAAAATTATGCATAAAACAAGTCGTGCTTTGATTCATTAACCAATTTGTTTCCTTCAGAAAGATCAAAGCCCATCCACTTTTGGTTCTTTCTTTTTTTCCCCGGGGTTGGGGGAGTGATTAACATTTGGAGGGGCAAAGACAACAAGTAAAAGGAAATTGTGGAAGGAATAACTGATGACATATAAACATATTATCGCATTCAATAACTAACACTCCATACCAAGTCACTACGGATGCAACTTCTGGCCTCATGGTATGCGGCAAAAATTTTGTCGAACACAATAAGCCTTTTCTCAGCTGTAAGAGAGTTTGCTGTTGGACCATGAAGATCTTTCTCCAATTCCTGAGCTGATTGAATTTGTTACACAATAATTAAAAGTTTGAGTCAGAAATCCCAAACTGATTGTTATTGAAAAATAATCATGTCAGACTATATAAACATGCCAAAGTGGAGTGGCATCAAGAAAGATATTAGGTTCAACATCAGCACAGTTTTAGTGTCAGCTAGTCATATTGGAAGGTTAAATTAGGCCATTTTCCCTGGAAGTATATTGCAAAAACATTTTCAGAGTGCATTCATTATAAAAAATTTCACCTTAACAAAGTTAACAGGAATAACTTCCAAGCTCGTGCTGTAGTGAATTAAATCATATAGGCCTATGTGCTTCATACCAACTTTTTAATGTAATTTTCCAGGGGACAAGATGTTTTCCTATAAGCATTTCCTAGCGGATCATCCAAAACAAATTGTATATTTGTACCCAAAAAAAAAATCTAATTCTTAGTGCAACATCAAGCCATCAAAACTATGTCGCCATACCAAACATGCCATCAATCTCTACTTGGAGAAGACCCGGAAACAATCAAAAGAAATTTTTTTTTTCAGAAGGGGAGGGGAGGTTAATGATTGCATGTAAATTGTCAATGCTAGGATACAAAAAAGTTAAAGCTAACATTTAGACATACTTGACAAATCCATTTTACCCTGGAACCAGGGGACCCTTTTGTTTTACTATAAGAGATTTAGTACTGACCTTTCAATATGGAAACCCGTGTCTTGGCATTTGAAATTGGAAATTTATGACCTAGCCAATTAAATTCGGTCATAGATGCAGCCTGTTGAGATCTAGCCTCTGCCATAACAGCCTGCAAATCAAGAGAATACAAGACAAGATTAATGACGTGTGTTGGCACGTTGTTCTCCAGTTCTTCATCTGAGAAGCAGCACAAGCAACCGTCTTACAACAATAAATCAATCATGCATACCACACTAATGGCCCACCATTGAAATAATATACTTACCTCCAATTTAGCCTTAAAAAGGTCCAGCGCAGGTCCTTCCATTTCATCTATGTGCACAAGTTCAGATGTTTGTAGATTTGACTCTCCAATTTTGTGTAGACAATACCGTATATTCGGGTCCAGTTCCTGAACACGTTCACGACACAATTGTTGATTCTCCAAGTCTCCATATTTCCCAAGCTCCTCATAAACAGCCCTATCAAGTTGACAAAGATAGCCAGCACATTATAATAATTATTCTTGTTACTAATTTTCATTATTATTATTTGCTAACAAGTAAGTAGCCAACCCTCTTAGAGCACACAACCAATCCACCAGACACATACAATAAACCATCCCACATTAAACAATAACACATATTAATCAATGCAGTGAAGGAAACCATCAAATTTAGAATTTAAAACCTTCTCAAATAAGCTTCTAGTCATCTAATCTAGCATCTAAAAAGAACACAACTATGTTAAAGGGGATGGCCATGTAATAAAAGGAAAGGAGGAGAAATATTTTCTCGACTGGAACAACATCCTAGATGACCAAACGAGAAGGGGAATAATGCGACTTGAATGAGCCATGCATAAAAACATGCAAAAGATTTGCAAGTTAATCCAAAATGGGAAGTAAACCGTGAAGAAGAGACACCAACATTTTAATTCTATAGTTACGCAAAATAAAACATACCTGGCACTCTTGAAACTCTTTAATGCAACATTCCAGTTCTCTTCTTTTTCAAACAGTAAATTCCCTTTCATGTAAGAGGCATAGGCCTACAAATTGGAGATCAAAGTTTGCTCCATAGAAAATGAATAGGTTGTACATCATTAAGTAAAAGATAAGAATGTCACTTAAAAGTGAAAAACAAGTAAAATCATTCAAAATTCAAGCCACAAAATCTGTGGGAATAGATGATCGATGACAGAATGTACCAGAAAAATTAAATATACACATTCTGCCTGATTGCAAACATTAAAAGATAGATTGCATGTCAAGCTCCCCCAAAGAGGACGACATGTCAAGCTCCCCAAATCACTTGGGAAATTCTATTGTACCCCATTGACAAAAAGATTTATTAGTATCCCCCTGGGGAGGAAAAAAAAAAAAAGTTAAAGCTTTTAAAGCCATCAAATAAGCTAAACATCTTATTAATGGAAATAGGAAGACAAAACTTGACTTGAATTTGTTTAACTAAATAACATATGCATGAATGATTAATGAATTACACTTTCTTAGCTCTTATCCTTGTACCTTCTTCAACTTGAATCATGAATAGGTTTCTTGGTGTGATAAACAATCTATAAGGCACATATCTTAAAAAAGTCTAATCATATTTCTTGTTTCTCATCCGTCATACTTTCTCCTTGTCTAACAATACTTTCATCCCAACCTCATTTTTGCTAATGTGTTTCTATAATTGCTCGACTCTCTTTGTCTAGTTGTTCCCATCCTGGCATCCCTCTTGTTAATTTTGTATCTAGATTGCAAATATTTGGCACCACAGCCAGGGAAGGAACCAGGATTTGGCCATTGGGGAGCCAAACTGTATTCACAGAATCTCACACCAACACTGTGAACTATTTTCAGACTTACTACATTAAAATTTTCAATATGAAAAAATATATCCAAGAAATTAATGTATATCCACTACAAACAAAGATAGCAACAAAAAAAAAAATCGAAAGGAATAGCTTTTATTACGCTAAAAAATAGAACACTAACGGGTTAATCAACAATTTTATTCATTCTCCCTTCCTTTGTAATTTTGTTCTTCAATGTCATAAATAAGGAGTGGCCATTCCAAACTCTTCCGCCTTCTACAATTTCTAACCAGAAGAGCTCTTTGTGCGTTATAGAATGCTTTGTTTTCTAATTAAGTTACCACTCTTGAGTTCCTTCAATGGGATTTAAATATATTAGGAAGTAAATATATTATTATGGGATGACCGAGAGTTTTGCTATACTGGGGGAAGTTTTTTGGTTTAGGATTATGACTTGGTAAATCTTGTAAAGCAATGCTATTTTATTTTGTAGTAATATGTCTGGAGAAATTTTTATGATAACAAAATATTATTTTATCATTGAGAGAATATTTTATAGAGATTATCATTGTGTGAAAGTGAAGCACCGGCAACCTTTTAACTATCGGTAGAAATTGGTTTAGTATGAGTGGCCTGGAAGCCATCACATACAATTATCCTTTTGAGAAGCACAAGTATCAGTCACCCACCCTTTTTATTCTCCTTGCCCACAGGGGGAACAGATGGTCACTCATGACAATGTGATCCAGGACCATTACACTTCACCATTCTCCCCTCACACCGCAATTATAGAATTCAAAATTTGGTATGCTGGTACTTATCTTAAAAACCTATCAGCAAAAGGCTAAAAGTTCTTTCTCCACAATTGCCCATATTTTTCTCGTTAATGCCTTTGAACTTTAACTTCTTCAACTTCCATCTTCTATTCTCTTAGAACTTTAAAATAATGGTACATTTTGATTTCCTAGATGAGTGCATAAATTTTCCACATGCATGTATACGCTTATAATACATGACTATTACTCTTCATAATTTTGCAAAGCATCTTTACCTTTTTTGTTGTAAGCAAATAAAGAATCAACAAAAAACGCTAGAATGAGGGAGAAAAACCTGTAAATTGAGGCATCATGCCCGAATTCACCTTTTTACAAACAAGCAACCAAGAACTTGCAAGATTATAGGTGAGTGTGGGTTGAATGACTCTATCTCTAACATTATAGCCTGAAAACTGTCTATCCTACAATCATTTATAGGATTAAAATTTCATGATTGCTATGAAATGTCATTGAAAGCTTAAAACCTCTCTAACAGCCAAAACAAGTAAAGAACCCCGGGAAGATTAAGACATGGTGATCTTACACTTAAAGAAAAGGACATTGTCCAAAAAATTAAAAGAAAACTTGAAATTCTTACAAGCAATAGCTGCAAAAATAGCATCCCAAGTAGCTGAACTGAAAAAACACACCTCAGCTTCCAAAGATGATCTGGAATCTCCCTTGATGGAACACAAATCTTGAAAAAGAGTTGCCCATTTTACTGCCTTTCTCAGCCTACCAATGAGGTAGTTGCGTGGGCGTGCATTCGGACCATCTCGAAGTGACAGCGTTTTCTTTTCCATGGCATGGCTCCAAGCTCTTTCGGCTGTATAAAGTACCAAATGGAGAAACCTACGTTGGGTTCAGAAACGTTTAATGTTATCGGACAAATTTGAAATGCTAACCTACTTAAATGTTGGGGCAATTAGATCTGCAAATCTATACACAATTGATTGCACTTTATAACCACGAGACATATAAACTGCGCTAGTCCCACAAAATACAAGATTTTGTTTCTTCAGTTCAATAGTATCTAGCCCATCAAAAATACCCAGTTCTTCCTGTGGGAGGATTTTTTTTTTGGGGGGGGAGGGGAGAACTAGTAGTCTGATTGATGATATATTATCATAGTGGCGCAGATATCACGATAGGCTGAATGATGAGAAAAAAGAGACACGAAAGTTTTTCTGCACGTTGATTATTTGGAAAAGGAACATTAAGTAGGTGTAACATTTTTATGCTTTTCAAAAACAACTAAATAAGATTTGAAGATCAATTATGGAAAGCGACAGATAGATAGATACAGTGATGTAAAAACATGAAACGCCTTATCACGAAATGCATCATGCCACATCTCTAGGCAATGTCTGTAACAATGAATTCATTGCACCTATGTTTCGTCTAAACCTTATGGATTACATGAACCACTCTCCATTTGTGTCAGCGTTGATTTAAGGTGCCTATATCCCCCATAGGTTTATAACATGGTGCATAGACTTCAAACTCCAGAGTCATGTCAATAGTTCCATACTTGCTCATGGCCTACAGATAAGTCAAAAGTTTCTAGAAAATAAATCAATAATGAAGAAAGACATCACAAAGACTCTACAACTATTCACTACATTACATAGTTATCAAATCGTGTATCGGAAGGCGTATCGTAAGATACAAATATTGTATCGTATCGTGTATCGTAAGATACGATGCAATTTTAAATAAATAATAAAAAAATATATATACCTTTGAAAAAAAGTCATACACTCATAAAAATTATAGCATTTCATTAAATACTCCACCAACTATTCAAGTTATCAACATAATCCACTACTATTATAATGCAAAGTTCACAACCATAGTTCACTAATTCAAACTTTAAACACCAAAGAGACTTCTAATCCAAATTTCTAACATCCATTTTGAACTCAATCTTCAATTTCAATTGAAAATGCATCATCATCATCATCATTGTGATCGGATGCCAACAAGTCTTCACTTCCTTTATCATCTTCAACTTCTTGTATTTGTTCATCCTCATCCTCATCCTCATCCTCATCCTCATCTTCAAGTTGAACTATTTGCTTTCCTTTTTTCTTGTATAAAGTAAGATTTCTAGGCCCTACAAAGCAACCAATACAAAATATAAAAAAAATAAAATTCAAAGTAATGGAGAAGAAGAAAAAACAACCACTACATTTTAATTACCTCTCTTTCTCTTTTTGCTAGTCCCTTCTTGAACCTCAAAACATTCACCAACATTCATCCAAGTAGTGTCCTCAGGAAGGAGTGCATCTTCTTTTTCAGTGATCCACTCATCATCAGATTCCATATCTGAGAGAGAAATAGGATCATAGGAATCACCCTCTAGTATTCTCTTTTAGTGTCTTGCCTCCAATCGAAGATTGTACTTCACAAACACAAGTGCACTTAATCTTTGTTGCTCTAATCGATTTCTCCTCTTAGAGTGCACCTGGTCAAATGTACTCCAATTCCTCTCACATCCAGTGGCACTACAAGTCAAGCTAAGGACGCGGATAGCAAGTTGTTGCAACTCTGGACAACATCCTCCAAATGATTCCCACCACAAGGCTATAAAAAATTACAATAGAATACTCTATTAACTAACTTAAGCAGTTACATTCAAATAACTAACTTAAGTTAAGTTACCACTAACCAGGTTGTTTCTTCTTCCTCATTTGGATTGCCATGTCCATTCCAAACATCAAATCAGCATTATGAAAGATATCTAATTGTTTATCAACTTTTTCTCTCATAATAGGACTTGGGCACATTCTCTGAATAGTCTGATATAGTCCCATCTTTATCTCATAGTCCGCACTACCGGTGTAATGAAACCTGAAATAATTATTTTGATTTACAATGATCATTGATCAGCATACAATATATAGATATAAAATGATATAAAAATTGAGAAAATTAAGTCTTACGTGGGATTGAGATAATAGGCAGCTGCATGAAGAGGTCTGTGTAATTGCATGTTCCATCTAGTGTCAACAATAGTCCATATGGGCTCATAGTGCTTCTTCACATTACGAAAATTCTTTTGGATTTGTTCCTTTGCCTTGTCCATTGCCTCATAAATATACCCCATGGCAGGCTTTAGATCCCCATCTACAAGCCTCAACACCTTCACCAATGGCAACACACACTTCAAGCAATACTTGATTGATCCCCAAAAATTTTGGTCAGCTAGTATAATATCCATCACTTTTACACCATCTCCCTTCTTACAATATTGACTTCTCTGCCATTCCTCAGAAGCAAACATTGCTCTAAGCCCAATTTTATTTTCAAATAAACTCCTTAAAGTTAAATATGAGGTGGCAAATCTGGTCACACAAGCTCTCACCAAATTCCTTTTCTTTGTATACTTTCTCATAAGATTTAACACCCAAGAATGTCTATAAATGTAAACTGTGATTTTCCTTGCCTTTGACATTATATCCTTGTGCAGAGGAAGGTCCCCAATATCCGTCAAAATGAGATCTAGACAATGTGCACCGCAAGGAGACCAAAACAACTTTTTCCTCTTTGCCATTAACAACTCCCCAGCTTTTACATAAGCCGATGCACTATCAGTTACAACCTGAACAACATTATCCTCACCAATCTCTTCTACTATTGAATCTAAAAGCTCAAAAAGATAATCCGCATTCTTACAAATACCTGAAGTATCAATACTTTTAAGAAACACACTTCCTCTAGGACTATTCACTAAAAAATTAGTGATAGAGCGATGTTTCCCATCAGTCCATCCATCAGACATAAGAGTACAACCCGTCCTTCTCCACTCTGCTTTATAATTTTTCATCAACCCACCATTAATCAAATTTGTTTCTTTTTTCAAAAAAGAACAACTCACCTCATGATACGATGGAGGTTTCAATCCCTTACCAAACGATGCAACAGATTCTAACATTCTTACAAAATATGGATCCTTTACCAAATTAAAAGGAAGGGCATTAGCATAAAAACATCTACAAATATCCAAGCATACATCTTCCCTACCCTTTTTCTTCAACATAGTATTCAAAGTAATTGTGGTGGTTGGCTGTATTTTATCAGCAGTAGTACTACCCACACTGCCACTACTTTTCGAATCCACAAGACTCATATCTTTGCTAATTGCCCTATCATCCAATAATTGCTTAAAAAATTCAGTTACTTCCTCAGGGCAATGCTTACACGCTGCTACATCTTTGCGATTACTTGTCAAATGATTTTTCATTCTTGAAATGCCTCCCCAATAGACATTTGCACAATGAATGCATTTCAATTTCAACCTTGATCCTTCTACTTTGTCACAATGTTCCCATGTGGGATCATTAGCAAGTTTTTTAGTCATTTCTATATGAAAATTGGATGCAGGTGATGCCACTGTTGCACAAAATTAAAATTAATCAAGATTCAGAAATTTTTATACAAAAAAATTTATATACATTTGGCTTTGTAAATAAATTAATATCATTACATACTGCACAGGACCAACGATCAATGGAGACTGGGAAGAAGAAGAAAAAGGAGTACCTGGAGAAGAAAGAAGGCAGCGATCAACACCCACAGTCGGAGACAAGCAATCACCCACAGACGAAGACCGGCAATCACCCACAGTTGGAGACCACCCACAATCGATCACCACCCAGACTCGAAGACCACCCACAGTCGAAGACCACCCACCCAGTCGGAGACCAGTCGAACACAGTCGAAGACCAGCCACAGTCGAAGACCACCCACCCAGTCGGAGACCAGTCGAACACAGTCGAAGACCACCCACAGTCGAAGACCACCCACCCAGTCGGAGACCAGTCGAACACAGTCGAACACCACCCACACAGTCGAAGACCACCCACAGCGATCACCACCTACAAGTCGAAGACTTCCCACAGTCGATCATCACCCACCCACAGACGTCGGTCGATGGCTGAAGAGAAACGACAGACATCGGTCGATGGCTGAGAGAAACCAGACGTCGGTCGATGGCTGAAATGTCTGATATATGTGAGAAATATCTGAATTTTTTTTTTGTAACCCTAACCACTGAAACGACGTCGTTTCAGTGGTTATAGGGAATTGAAAAAAAAAAATTCAACACACTTCAAACGACGTCGTTTAAAAAAAAAAAAAAAAATTGCACGTATCGTGCGTTTCGTACCGATACGTATCGTATCGTAAAAACGTATCGTGTATCGGACGATACAACGCAAAAACGATACATAACTACGATCCGTATCGTTTTAGGGCTGTATCGTAACGTATCGTACGATACGTATCGTGTATCGTACGATACTAACAACTTTGCTACATTATGTGTGTTTCTACTTGCACCCCGATACTAAGGCATATATACCCAATTTAGAGCATAATTAGGCGGCAACATTAGGAACAAAGATTAAACAAAAAATTCAGGTCTAACTTAATCGAAGAACAACATTATCGATTACAAATTCAATTCAACCCAGTAACCTGACAATGATAATAAAAAAAAAAAAAAAAACCTTAACAACGCAATACATGAAAAACGCACACCTCACTTCAGTGACTGTAGATGTGGTTATGGCTTTTTTGGTGTACTTGCCACGGCCATGAGTAAACTTCAATGACTTGTACAATCTCCGCAATCGAGCAGTACAGTACCTCCTGTAACCCAATCGAATCAATACCAGAATACCACACAAAAATCGATGCGAAAGTACCGATTTTTCCCCACCAATTACTTAGAAGACTAATGCAATTCGTACCGGTAGCGAGTGTAATCCCCATGCCGTAATCCATGCTGCATCTGAGAAGATTTCAAGAGCTGCAACACTGTAAATCAAAGTAAACCTAATTAATAAGGTACAAAAACATACATGCATACAAATACGTGTATATAGATACAGAAAGAGAGAGAGAGAGAACCATTGATTGAGAACTTAGGGTTAGAGATCTGATCAGGTGCCGTTGAATTCTGATAATCGATTTCCATTGCTGAGACGTCGTTAGCTTTCGCCATCAAACCTTCAGAATTAATTGATCGTTTGCTTTTCCACTACAGATTCGTGAACGGCGTAGCTCAATACAATGTTGTTTTAGAATGTGTATGCGCCTGGTGCGTACCGTTCTTCTTCAGTTCGTAACGTAAATCACTTCTGTCCCATACTTTTTCCGGGTCGGATTATTCGACACCGATATCGGGGTTTTCGGATCTGGTTTTGAATTATTCACTGTATTGGTTTCTTTTTCTCTTTTCTAACTGTTTAAAAAACTCAATGACAGTCAATAAATTTGACTAAAATTTCAAATTTCTGACCAAAAAATAAATAAATAAATAAATTTTCAAATGTCTTTAATATTTGAGAGGAGCCCAAATCGGTCCATTATCAAATACACATGCTCTAGAAATAACTCATCTCGACCTTGATTATATAGTTCGATTTATAATTTTTCTTAATTATTTAGTTTATAAATAGAAATTCAAAATGTCGGTAACTCCATTAAAAAAATTTGTGAAAATTATTTTCCTTGTACTTAATTGCTTATCCACAATTAAATATGCTTCAATTTACTTTTAGTTCTTGTTTTTTTTGTTTGAAGAATGGTTGCTGCTTTGAAAGCAATAAATAATTTTTATTCCATTGGTGAGAATTTAATTAAAGTAGTGATCGCTGCTTTGATATAAACTACTAAATAATTAATTATCTAAACATAACAATCTAGAGTTTTGAAAAGAAAATTTCGTTCGTAATCGAGATTATCATCGTCCAAACATGACATAAGGGTATGAAATTGTCATTTTATGCATTATTGTTGTGACCATCATCCTTTTTGAGCGATGAAGGTCTCTATTGTCATATACTCAAAATTAGGAGAATGCTATAGCGATATACATTTTTTTTTTTTTTTTGATTAGAGAACATTACAAAACTTCTACTTACATTGGATCATTAGAAATTGAACCACATTAACCTAGAGGAATGAGAAACCTGAAATCTGTTACACGGAGATGTGTTATCGAGACAGTTGATAATTGAGTCAAGTTATTGGGACTCGTCTCAAATTGTAAAACAAACTGAACTTGAACAATTTTTAAACTCATTTAGAAAACGAGCCAAAAATACTCAGTTCATTTGTGTAAAATAATTGAACTACTCGGCTCGTTTTGGTTAAGCTCATTTTTTAAACGAATTGAATTTGAATAATTTTTTAAATTCATTTAAAAAAACGAACTCGAGATCTAACTCATAAAACTCAACTCAATTATCAGCCTTACTCAACGATATAAGCATTAGTATGCATGTATTGCTTAAATAGTTCTATGGACCAAAAAAATTAAATAAATACGTATTGGAAAAACACATCTCTATTTATGTTTAAAAAAACAAAAATAAAAAAGTAGAGATAGAGGAGAACGCTCACAGACCACTCCGATAGGCCTTTACTAGTGAAATCATAAGGCCTTTGACCGCAACAGTTACTCTACTAAGCAACAAACTTAGCTAGGCTAGTATTGATGTCAACCACCAAGCCCCAATATGGACTCCGAGACTCAAATCTCTAACTTCAGGATAAAAAGTTCAACCAGTACCCCATTGCACCACCCCCACTCGGTGGTTAAAGAAAAATAAAATAAAATAAACAATAGTATGCAGCAACTAATTGTTAGTAAATTCTGAACGTGCCTTGATTTTCCGCAAAATAAATTACATTGTGTTTCCAATATTATTTAACTGATACAAAATAGTCAATAAGGGCGGGGAGAGGATTAGAGAAAGCAAAAGAAAACAGAGAGGTAGCACATCAAAAGTCTAACACACGGTCATAAAAAGTTATGATACCCTTTATTCGTGGCATGTGCATTTGGGGGAGAAGGCTTCTGTCATTAAGAAATCCTCCGAAGAGCAACAGATTTGGGTGAGAATTGTAATCAATCCATCAACAAGCAGCTCACCTAAGTAATATAACCGATAAATGGATTAGAGCAATGTTTTTCAGAGATTGAGTAAATTATATATATAACTCTCAAATTATAACTTTTGTGTCAATTTAATCCTTAAACTTTCTTATATGTCAATTGAGTCCTTAAACTCTTTAAGTATGTCAGTTGAAACCTTTTGTCTTTTTTGTGTCATAAGACACGTTTTTTGTGTCAATTGAGTCCTTGAATTCTCTAATTTTGTCAATTGAATCATTTTGTCTATCTCTATTAGACCATCTCCAATCTTTAACCTTTTTTAAAAAATAATAAAAAAACTCTTAAAAACTTTTTTCAGATTATAACCATACAAAATGAAGAGAAACTATTTTTTAAACATAAATTAAGAGAATCTTTTTTTAAACTCAAATCTTTAATGATGAAATTATAATTTCTTTTAAAGATTCAATAGTCATATTTTATCCCATTTTAAATTTGAATTTGTTCTCATTTAAATTTGAGTTTCTCTTCCTATAAAAAAAGTTTGTCAATAGGAAAAGGTATATACCAAATCAAGTTTTTTATTTTTTATTTTTTATTTTTTTTACTTAAATTTGGGTAAATATTTGGATCTCCACTCTTAGAGTGTGCCCACTCACGTGACTACATGGCACCAAAAAAAAAAAAAGACTCAATTGACACAATTAGAGTGTTCAAAAGTTCATTTGACACATAAAAAAAATTAGAAACTTAATTGACACAAAGGTCACAGATCGAAAGTCATTTGTTTCTCACCTTGCAGTAGTAGACCATTTGTAACTGAACTCGATAATGAAGGTACGAATTTCCATTGGGGTAAGTTCAACCACCAGCTTTGTAGGATCGACAGGGCCTCCTCTTAGCACATTGGTTTCATCATTATTAGAACCTTCAACTTTCCAAACCAATCTCTTTTTCTCCATTTCCTCTCTTTCTTGGTTAGCAGATAAGCTCATTTCAGTCACCTTGTTTATCTGAAAAACGAAACAATTCAATTAAAAATGACAAAAAATTATTCTAGCGGAGGACTTTAGAAATAATGCCATGCATTTTGCTTCACCTTCTTATCTGGGAACAGGTTTTTCAATTCTACGTTTGTCATAACCGAGAGATCTTTGTCCTCCCCAATCTGAAACCACACACATGACTGAAATTAGAGTTCTAGGAGAAGCAATGAATAGAAAGTTAATATTAGCGGTTATCTCTTCTGAGGATAAACGTCTCAATACTCCTACTGCACAAGGTTTCAGAACGGGTTGTAATAAACTGCAAATGCTTTGATATCATAGGAATTGTTATATTTGACAAATGATAACAACTCACTAGACACTGCAAAAGTAAAAGACTTGTATGATATAGCAACCACTCGAATGGTTTTTACTACCTTTGCGACTTTGAATGGAAACAAATTAACATACAAAAATAATGAGTGTTCATATATGCAAAGAAAGTTCTCCCTCATAAAAATACTAATGATAGAACAAATCGTTTCTGAAATCTGGAGGATATGATTTGATTAATTTTTTTGGAACTTTATCCCACCAATCAAAGCTTTGTAGTACCAATGTAGAATTGCTTCATATACAGAAATAAAATGCAAGTAACAGACAGAAACTGGAATCCATGCACAAATCCAAATGCATAAATTAGAGGAAATGGAAAATTGAAGGAAACCACAAGAACAAGCATAGGGTTGGGGATTCAGTGGCGTGATCCTAAGGGGAGAAGAAAGCCATCATTGCACATGTTACACAAAATTAGCAATACTGATCAATGATGATGCCATGAGTAGTGGAACTGAAGAATGGGATACATATTAACTGGCACAAAAGCCAGAGTATTTCACAAAAATATGAAATATAGATGCAGAAAATAGTTTTATTTCCCAAGGAAATCACATATAGAACCAAACATTTAAGTACATAAGACTCGGCGGGACTAGGAGATTTATGTGATTCTGTTACAGAAACAAAAATACCTCATATAAGTGTGCCAACCGAAGGAGAACTTTTCCATCTTCAAGCTCCTGCATGACTCAGAAAAGAGATGTAGGTAGGAACAAGTCACCTCAAGTTTAAAATTCTCATTAATTCTTAAGCAAAACAGCATCAGCCTAAGGAATCACTCACAATTTCAACTTCAGAGATCAGATTTGTACCTGGAGGGTTATCATTGCAATGTTGTCGGGAAGACTGTAGGAAGGAGCCATCCCTGAAAAGGTTGGTACTTGAAAATTTGTATATTTATCTCCATCCTGAAAGAATAAGGACAATTCTGTAGGACTGATACAGTCACCATTGAAAAAGGATCGCCTCAAAATTTTCTTACTCACCTGCTCAGTGAAGGCTAAGAGAAATGGAGAATATATCTCCTGACCAAATGACCGACGCCACTTAGCTCCCTCTCCAAGGGGATCTATTCTAAGGTAGTATTTCCCTTGAATCTGTGCAGTATGTCATTTCAACAAATCAGTTGTGGCTTCTGCAACAGACTTAAATCCATGACACCACCAATGAAGCAAAAGTATTTGACATTAACAAATTTGTAAGTTGGGATATCAAATGTTAAAAATCTTGAATGTAAAATGGAGAAGCATTGAAATATTTTCACAATTGGCAAAACCAAAACACAAGCATTTAAAACTCAGAGTGAACGACCACCAGGCACCAAGTATAAAAACTCGATGGTACAAACATATAGTCATGTGCCACTGCCACCAACCCCCGAATCCTTAAGTGAGCTCATTAGTAATAACTAATAAGTACAATCTTCCGACATAGACGTGGCTCACCCACCCTGGAAAATGAACATAATGGGGCAAGCATTTGATATTGAAAGCAGACTTAACAAAAAACCTTTCAAGCTGAAAATATGTATGGAAAGAAGCATATAAGAACTCCTAAGCTGGTATTTAAATTGATAGTCAAACTTTTTTGGTACTCACCAAAGAAAGTTTCGTAGGTGTCTAGATAGCACTTTGGCCCCCACTACACAGAAATGATAAAAATGAATACTCATCTATTAGACCGGTAAGAAATGAGTCCAAACAGAGTTAATCCCTA